ATTTGATTTTTAAGGGTGAAAGGTATTAAAGGGCGTTCTATAGGGGATATATAGTGGGAGTTGATGCAGGTAGGGTAGGTTAGAATCATGGATCTGGATAGTACCGACGCTGCAGGACGCGGCAGCCATCATCGAATGCTAATGAGGGGTTGGCGGCTTTTGGGGCGGAGAATTCAGACTGTCGAATCCTCCGTTGCTGTCGGCCTGATTATAAATTATACATTATCTCCTTCTAACCCACACGTACTCCTACGGAATTCAACAGCATGTCCTGGGATCTCTGATCTATCTCTCGATTCTTCATCTCCACCCTTTTGGATCTTTTTTCCTTCTCTCTCTTTCTCTGTCTGTCCGTCCGTCTGTCTCCTTTTCTCACACCTTAAATCTTTAAAAGAAATCATATTGCAACCACGTCGCGTTCTCATGTACAAAAAAAAAAACTGATCCTCTCAGGACAATGATCCATTAAGAACTGATGAATACTCGAAAAAGTCAAGACGTGCAACGATTATGAACAAAGAAATTGGGATGCCTAAAAAAGAAAAGATTTGTTCTTTCGAGAAAGATTGTGAGAAGGGCAAAAGAAAAAAAAGAAGAACAATTCTGCATAAGACACTAATGGGGAATAACGAATAGCAAAAGTCCAATGCAGATCACGATAAAATGGAGAATTCCATTATGTAAATGTATTCAACTTTTGCAGGCGTACTGATGCGAGAAATCTGTTCGCTGTTTTTGAAGTTTTAAGGTCTTTTGTATAAATAGATGGCTTTTATTTATATATATATATATAGTTCTTTAAAAATTTAGTATGGAAAAAAGTTGTTGTTTTTTTTTCTCACTAATTAATCGATTTGCCCAAAGAAGCGAAATAAAGGAATTGAAGAAAGAGGAATTAAATCTATTAATATAGAATTGTTCTAATTTTAATTTATAATTTTCAGTATTATTTGGTCAGAAATATGTTTCATACGACTAAATAGTACAAAGACCGAATTTTCATTTGTACGAATTTTTAATTGACCGAAGTTTTAAGACGCCGAATTTTCATTTGTCCGAATTTTTAATTGACCAAAGTTTTAAAACACCTAATTTCCATTTGTCCGAATTTTCAATTGACCGAAGTTTTAAGACGTCGAATTTGCATTTACCGGAAAAAAAATCGACATGAAGATTTCGGCGCAATTTAAAAAATTTTAATTTATAATTTCGGAGAAATAAAACTTCCGGTGTCTTAGAAAATTCTGTCAATTAAAAATTCGTATAAATAAAAATTCTTTGAATTGAAATTTCTGTCATTTACAAAATTCCAATCATATAAAATTCAATTGAATGAGAATTTACTGTAAAATAATGTTGAATATATAGAAAATGACTATGTAATATCATATAGGTCAAAGTTCATTTTCTGATTTGAACTTTTTACTGCTTTTTCGAGGTCTGCTTTTTCCCTAATATATATAATAATCACTGATTACAACACTCCAGACTATCAAGAATAATTTCTAATCTTCTATTACTGTCTTTTCTGTTTTTTCATTTATTTCATCTTGAAATTCTTTTTGAATATTTCTCATAAAAATTATTTCATAAAATTATAAAAATTAAAAATAATTTCTATTTTAAATTACAAAAAATTATTCACAGAATTATAAGTGAATATAAATTATTTATAAAGCTGTTTTGTCAAACAGGAAGAATCTTGTAAACCAGATCAAAAAAAAAAATAATACTTGATATATGAAATAAAATTTATAATTCTAAAAATTGTTTAATTATCAAGCATTTTTTTTTTTTTATTATAGAACTAGTTACAATTACAAATACCATTTAGGTATAAATATATGGCTTCTTGGGACAGACGAACACTTTGGAAGATGAGCAAACGAGCGGAATTTGTTAGCAAGAAGGCGAAACAGGGAGAGAAAATGATTACGAGGTGGCAATGGGGAGAGCATCGAGAGCTCATAAAATCATTATAGCCCAACCTTTATGCGTTTATGGACCACCGATACTTGTAAAAGCGGGACCATTGGCATTCAGGAACCGCCAAAACTCGGGGACTATGGCTTCCTTAACGATATGGACTCACCAATATTCCACAAGATACTGGGATACCATTATCTTGATTTGGTTCTGATAAGCAAACCCCCCCCCCCACCCCTCTTTTTTTTATCTATTTTTGTAATTAAGATTTTATTTCATACAATTTTCGAAATTTTCCAAAATTTTTCATATTTAATAAATAATAATTAAATATTTATTTATTAAAGGCAAAAAATTTATTTCAAAACACAATTTTTATGCTATTGTACTTTTTTTTTGTTTGTGCGAGAGTTTTTTTTTACCTCAACTCTTAGAATTGTTTCCGTTTCGGTGTTGAGGCGAAAAAAGGAAATTCCGTTTCGCTTTTTATATTTCGGTTTTTTGGTCAATTATTTCCGGTTTTGCTGTGACAAATTCTGTTTCCAGTCCAGGGGTAAATAAAGAATATTTCAGAATTTCTAAACTAAATTTTTCAACGCAATAAATATGACGCATAAATAATATTTAATAACAATAATAATAATTGTAAAAATAGTTGAATATGCGGGTTTTGATAAAAATGAATCAGAAAATATAAAGAGAAGGGAGTACGATAAAGAGCAATTGCAAAGCTGATAATTACATTGATTAGAGGCTCATTGTGAAGCAAAAGTGTTTAACAAAAGTGATAGATGTTAAACTACTAGCAATGACAGAGACTCGATTGGCTTGAAAAAAAAAATCATTTATCTCGCATGTCAGAGCAAAATATATATTTATAAGTGAGTCGCATAATGCACCTCTGGCCAATGAACCATATACCCTTGAAAATTCCCCCTATAGACAATCACTCCCAAATTCTTAAACCACCGCCCACGTCTGACTAGAAGGAAGCACACACACACACACACACAATTCGCTATAAATTGTCTGCGAGAATTTTTTTTTTTATCATTGTTACCATATTTTTTTCCCCTCTTTTGGAGCACAAACTCGTTTCGTATATTGATGTCAATGATTATTCAATAAGTTTCTAAATCAAGATGATTTTTTTTTTTGAAACTTTTTATATTTATTATTTTGTTTTTGCAATTTTTCCCTCCTTGTTCCTTTTTGGAAAAAATTTATTATTACTATTTATTTGTTTGTGAAAATTTATTACTATGGCTCTTAAAAAATAAGAATCTAAATAATAAATAAAAATACTAAGTAGAAAATACCATAGAAAAATATCAAAAAAAAAATTTTATAAAAATTTTTACTTTGTTTTAAACAAAAAATAAAGTGGTCCAACGAAGAATAGAATAAGTAGAAGACTTGAAAAATGTAAAAAGTTTAGAATTTTCATACTTTAAAAAAAAAATGGACTGGCGCCGACAAGCGGGAAGAGAAATTCTCATTAGCTTTGGAGAAGTCGATAAATTTTCGTCCGAGTTTATGATGAAATAATTCATCTCTCACTCTTACCGTACACCACCCAGTTTACACCGTAATTATGGGCAATTACTAAAGTGCATTCATCTACATTGCAAAATGAAATTCCCGTTCAATGCAATAAAAAAAAAAAAAAGAATTTTAAGAAAAGAATTCTTTAATTCAAATTGTATAATCATTTAGTGTGTGATATTTTTTTTTTTTGCGACGAAATTTTAATTGAATTAAAATTGTTTGCAGAATACTTTTTAAAGGACAATAAATCACGCGACAGGAAAAAAAAAAAGAAGAAGTAATCAGTTTCGCGAGGGAGATACATACAATCTGCAATAAATTATCAATGGACGGTGGCGACACAGATAAAGTTTATTTTCGTCGCAAACTAATGGCGTTCCTTTAATTATTAATTTACAGACTGAGAATAAATATATTTATATTCTAAGAAAGGAAATACGCTGAAAGTTTCGATAAGTGAATCATTAATTTTCCTCACCAAAACAACTTGTTGATAACGTTTCTTTTTTGTTTTTTTGCATATAATTAATTACATAATTGCAAGAAAAAATGATTTTCAATTTTATTAATTAAATTTTATATTAGTTAACAAGAAAAGGGAAATTTTTTTCCAATTTTTAAACAAAGGGAAACAAAATATATGGAAAATAATATTTTCCTCTATGAAGCTATTAATCTTGTTGAAGCATTCATAAATTTGAGCTTAAAGTAAATTAATTATTATTTTGGAAACAAATTAAGATAGCAGATTGAAATTTTATGATTCTGCTTGGAATTTATTGATACTTTTTTTTCTGCAAAAGAAGAACTAAAAAGTAAACCAAATAAAAAAAGCGGGAACTAAAAAATAAATTGAAAAAGGAACCAAATAAAAAACTAAAAAATAAACCAAAAAAAAAGGAACTAAAAAATAATAATAAACCAATTGAAACTAAAATACAAATAAAAGGAAACCAATAAAATGAAACAAAAAAAAAAAGGAAAATATAAATATTTTTGTAGAGTGCAAATTCGTTATTTATTGGACTACTATGAAATGATTAGCCGCACAAGCGAAATGACAGTCATAAAAGTTATTATAGTGTCAGTAGAGGGGGCAATGATCCTAAATATAAAATAGTGGACGTTTTGCAAGTGAGTCGATCTTGGATGATAGTTTTCGTGGATTGAAATTCCTGAACAGAGAGTTGAGATACACAAAAATATGTCTGCCACATGTGCTCAAACTACAAAACGCTTCACTCCTTTATTCTCAGTTTACTCCCACGTTTCGGTCACCTTTCATATATTTATATGATTTGTTAAATTGTCCCAAATATTTCTTTCAGATTTAAAAAAAAAAAAAAAAAAAAAAAAAATTTATTATCTACAGAACAAATTTTTCCTCCAATGGAAACACATTTTCTATTAACACACAATTATTTTTAACTAAATTAATAATAATAATAAATATTTTCTTTTGAAAATATTGTTGTCTGCATTGTTGATATAAAATTTAAGAAAAATATAAAAATAAAAGTACTCACCACAGACGACTCTGTCGAAGGGACTCATCCAATCTGTAAAAAAGAAGAGAAATCATTTTTTTTTTTTTTGGGAAAAAAAATAGAAAATTTGATTGAAATAGAGCTGACAAATAGGGGATTGTAATAGGTTCATAAATTCATTTTTATGATTAGCAGGCACAATATTCAATGATAAAATGATTGGTTGCAATAAAACGTGAAAAGTGACGGTCACATAAAATAAAATAAGGAGAATCATGCTAATAATGTGTGGAAAAAAGAAAGAGGGATACATTTCAACAAGATGCAATTTATACAAAAATAAATATTTCTATTTTCCCAAAATTTCCTCCTTTTATCAATTTCAAAAAAAATGATCCTTATATTAATTAATTAATTCCTTAAATTTAATTTAAAAAAATAATTAAAAAAAATATAATAAAAAAAATTGAAATAAAAAACGTCTGTTTCTTTTGTCATTTCCCAAGTTCTAAAAAAAAAATTCTAAGGGTCTGTGTCACAAGAAGTTTCACTTTTTCCATTTTCAACCATGAATGAAATAGAAAAAAAAACTTTTTGTAAATGAAACATTTTCTCAAATATAAATTATTTCTTTAAACAATATAAAATTAGAATTTTTTGATTAAAATTAACGAATTTTCAATAAAAAATAAATAGGAAGAAAAAGATTTTTAAATTTTATTGCAACTTTCTATATTTAGTCATAGCTAATAATATACATATATATGTATTTTTAGATTCATAAATATTAATGACGAAAAAAAATATTATTTATCAATTGTAATTGTTTAGAATTTTTTTTACAGTAAAGTGAACAAAAGTATTTAAAAATAAAAAAATCTAGACTTTTCCGTATATGTAAACAAAAGAAAATTTACTATTCTTAGAAACATAATGGTGTCGTTTCTTTTTTTAGATTTTCACATCAACATTGATTTTTCATTCAATATATAAAACAATTAAAAGAAACTAATTACAAAAAAACGAAAATTAAGCTATTATTTTCTAACAAATGTTACCTAACGGCTTTTTGAATATTTTAATAATTTTTTCAATATTTTGTTTTAACAAAATGAAAATTTAAACAAAACTTGATTTAATTACAAATTTTGAATATTAATCAAAATTGATTCTTTTTTTTTATTTTATTTTAAATAAATACAAGACGTGAACAACATATATATATATATATATATATATATATATATGCAAGTCTGGTAAAGACAGTGGAAAAAAAATAGCAATGAACGTAACCTACGTAACAGGTTAATATGAAATCCGAATGGCATAACTTGGCGATAGCAAGTACACTACCAAGAATTATTTGCATACCAGACCCGCCGCTAAAATTCTGACTTCAATAATTACCGGCGTCATAATTAAATACAGTGATTATATTTTTAATCAGAATATTAAAGGATCAAAAAAATTAAATCATTTTTGAATTATTTTGATTAATTACATGAAACTATTCTACATCTATTTTTCTTCCTATTTAATAATTTAATGCGTTTTCATTGTAATTATATAATCGTATAAATTTTATTCGATTCTCCTCTCAAAATAAGAATATTCCCTCTTTTGTAAAGTGAAATTTAATTCTCTTTTTTTTTAAATAAAGGTATGAAAATGTGCTTTGATATTTTCCTCTTCGATTAAGTATTTCCATTAGGCATCAAGAGGATTTTAATTATTATATATTTTAAGGTTAGATATATTTTTAGGTTATGTTCATAAAAATATGGCTTCATTCAGCCATATTGGCCATATTATTGCAAGTCATACTATTGTTATATTAATTATTGTTTGTTTGTAATTATATTATTAATATTATTTTGGATTATGATTATTATTATTATTATTATTTATTTATTTATTTATTTATTTATTTATTATTATAAGTGTATGTATAGCTTCTTATTTTATTGTATAAACTTACTGTAAAATTATTGTAAACTTTACCATTTGTTATAAGTGCTATTCTTATAATTACAGTATGTTTTGTTATTGTTATAATAAAAAAAGTAGATTTGACTATTGTTATAATTATAGTCTCTATACATTATTATTATAAAATTTATTATATAGCTTAGTTTTATTATAATTATTGGTTATTGTAACAATTACTAAAATTATATGCCTTACATTTTACTATTATAAATTACTACAATTGTATACAAATTACATGTAGTTTATATGTAAATATATTATAATTTACAAAAACTTGTACAAAATTTATTTATTGATAAACAAAAATTGGTTTAATATAATGCATTTATGTTATAAATAAATAAATAAGTAATAATAAGAACAATAAAAAATAATAATATTAATAATAATAATAATTACTATTATTACCTATTTATAATATTATTGTTATTACTACCATTATCATTATCTTTATTATTATTATTACTATTATTATTATTATTATTATTATTATTATTATTATTATTATTATTATTATCATTATCATTATCATTATTATTATAATCGTTATTATTATATTATCATAATTATTATTATCATTATTACTATAATTGTTGTTGTTGTTAGTATTATATAAATAATATTATTAGTATTGTCATCTTTATCATCGCTATTGTTATCATTGTTATATTTTGTATTGTTACTATAAAATTTATTATACAATTAGTTTTATCGCTATTGTTATAGTCAAGAAAAGAAAAAATTCTTTAATTTATTATCTCGATTTATTTAGATTATTTATTAGTTTAGCAATTATTCTCAATTAATTGGAAGAAACATATAATTGTTTCGAAACTAAACTAGGAATATTTATTATATGACTTTTTTTTTGGGGGGGGGGAGGAGAGGTTTAATGTTATGCGTGAGAAAAAATACCGTCGGTAAAATTTCATCTTTTCAATATGTATATATACGTTATCTTGAAATTTAAATAAAATCTATAAAGATTGAAATGCAGTATGTTATTTTTATTAGAAAACAACTATTAAGAAGTTAAATAAAGATTAAAAATCTATTTTTCATTTGGATTTAAAAAAAAAAAATTGTAAATTTCAAGTAATTGACGTTTGCCGTCGGACTGAAGAAAGAAGACGAGCGCTACATTTCTTAGGGGGTAAAAAGATGTTATTTTAAATTTTCTTTTTAGAAATTTTTTACGAATTCTATTATTATAATTATTTATTTATATTTATTATATATTAAACATTAATTTTTTGTAACAAATAACTTATTTTATTGTGAGTGAAGTCAGTTATTTTTTTCGTTGAAGTATATAAAACATTTTCAAAATTGTTTACAACTCGGTAATAATTTAATTCATTGAGTTTATAATAATTCAAAGATATTTCGCTAAAATATTATATATATTTTGTCAAAAATTATTTTTGGAGTAGCCTTGTATTATAAACAATCTCTCAAAGAGGTCTTTCTATATAATTTGAATACATTCCAAAATATTCCGCAAAATCATGACAATAACTATGTAATCTTGTATTATTGCCAGATTTTTTTAAATTCACAAAGTTGTTCCAAATTAATAAACTGTTAAAAATCGTTTTTCTTGCAAATTCAGTTTTGAATATTAAATTTTTTTTTAATTTAGAAAAATCTTATTTAAAATTGTGTTTTGTTGTGTAATTTTTTTCAATAGCAAAACAATTTGCAGTTTAGATGAACGTTCCCCAATATTTTTTTTTAAGATAATTGTTTTTTTACATTCAAGATAATAGTTTTCTAAGATCAAATAATAATGGTTCTCTCTCTCTCTCTTTTTAAAAAAAAAAAAAGATGAAAGCTAAAAACATTTTATAGTCTTAGATAGTAAGTCCAAGATGGAATGGTTTACTGCCGTTAGGGAACTCAAACTCAAGAGTTTCGTTGGAAACATAAAAAAACATTGTGGTATGGTTGTTACTCCAACTAGAAGCGCAAATGCGTCATTGACGTCTGGCAAAATCATTTTCTTACATTGGAATTATAAATTAATATCGTTAATTAAATGTATAACAATTACAAAACAAAAAAATTATTAAATTTTAACATTAGTTATAAACATTAAACAATTATAATTAATAATTAACATTCAACAATTATAATTAATTAATTATTAACATTCAACAATTATAATTAATTGCTATATAAATTATTATATAACGATTGCAAATGGGGAAAAAAAAATTATTAAAACATGAAAACATTTGTTTTTATGAACAATGAAACATTTAATTGAACATAAATTATTTGAACATAATATAGAAGCTATAAAATATTATCATAGCATTCAAAAGATGAATGTTAGTAGTAAGAGGTAGTAAAGACAATTAAAATTTAAAAGAATGAATTCTATTTACTACTTTTTAAAATTTGAATACTACAGAGATTTGAGACAATGCTATATAGTTACTGTTACTATTTAGTTAGTCAGCCTAACGATTTTGTTAGTAAGGTAACTAATAAAATACTTATTTCAACAAACTAATTAGTTAAATCAACTAATAAAGTAGTTATGCCAACTAAAAAATAGTAACAACTAATAAATTACCAGCAGTATAGTTTACTAACTAAAAATGATAACCCCAACCAATCTTTTCTTTTCACTGTAGTAAAATTAGTGTACTTTTAATTAAAATAGCACAAATGATTAATAATAAATTAATAACAATAAGCATAATTGTTAGTACAAATGTTCATACATTGTTCTAAATAGGGGAAGACATATTTCAATTATCTTTACATCTTTTTTAACGTTATTTTTATTCTTCTTCTTCATTTTCTTTAATTGTTCACAATTGTACGTGAATAATAATAATAATAATAATAATAATAATAATAACAATAAGAATAGTAATAATAAAAGTAATAGTAATAATAATAACAATAATGTATTAGACACTATTGGTAAATATAAATTGATGAAGAAATAAGCCCATGCAAAAACATGCAGATTTTAAAATCACCCAATAATAACCAATAATGCATTAAGTAAGTGGTATGAATTGGTAAGTATCAATTGATGATGAAATAAGCCCATGCAAAAACATGAAGATTTTAAAAATCAGCCAAACTCACCGGTGATGGACATCCATGGATAGCGTGGTATCTCTGGAATTCCAGGTTGTCCTGGGGTTGGTTGTTGACAGGAAGCAAGAGGATCAACAACAGCGGACGCTGCTGCTGCTTGATGATAAAATTGTGCAGCAGCCGCCATTGAAGCCGATGCCGCTGATACAGCTGAGGACGCCGACGCTGAGGACACAAGTCCCCCGGGGGTTGCTCCATTTTGATGATGATGTCCCAATGTATAATTTACCATTGGATCATTTGCCGATGGTGCAACATTTCCCGTTAAACTTGCAGTGTACCTGCATGATTTGTCACCGGTTGTTGCAGCGTCAACGGCCGCCGCTGCCGCTAATGCAGCGCTTGACGCCGCTGATGAACCAAAACCAGGTACCATACCCGATGTGGCACCAAAAGCGGCGGCCGCTACCGCTTGTTGTTGTTGATGATGATGATGGGCCGCAGCCGCTGATACATAGGGGTACATACTGGAGGTGGCGCGCGCCGCCGGTGATGTTGAGGCCGAACTTCCTGAGTGCTGAGGACTCGAGCCCGTCGGACTCGGTGAATTATGTTGAGCGTAATTAACAGCCGCGGCAGCAACTGCCGATAAACTCGACTCTAAACTTGAAACTGGACTCGATGAACAGGCCTGAACTGAGCTTGGATTCGCGCTTGAGAACAATTGTTGATGATGAAATTGTTGATGATACTTTGGTAGCATACTATCTATTATGAATTTCGAACTCATATCGCCGCCGCCGTGCGTCCCTCCTTGGACAGTCAACACCCGCACTGGTCACCACAGTCCACCAACAACACCATATTGGTCCCGCACATATTCTTTCGCGATTTCGTATTCCTCCTCGCTCACTATTTTTTTATTGACACTTACGCATCCTATTTTAAAAAGGAAAAAAATTATTTTGAAATTGTGATCAGCTGGTCTTGGGAATATAAACACGAGACCAAGGAGGAGCGTGGCCTGTCAGGTGTTAGAAGCCGTTTCTTGCGTACTTCTCGGATAGTCGACGAATCCTTTATGGGCCATGCATGAGGGTACTATAGCCCCCTATCCCGAACGCCGCGTACTACACACCACAGCCAGCTAAATGTAACCCCTTACAATAATGGCGCCGCTTGTCTCTCGCCTCCCTCTCCTGAATTCAACACAGCTGGTAAACAGAACCGGCCAATCAACTGACGGCCTCACTCACCCACAGCCAATCCCGTACAGGCTAGGCGCGCCAAGATGAATGGGTCTCTTCGTTTTCCCTCTTTCTCTACTTCTCCTTCTCACTCCACTATCTCTCTCTTATCTCTCTCTCACTCTCCGATTCCATCTCGCTCTTGTACTTTCTTTCTCTCTCTGTTTCTCAATACTCTCTCTTTTCTTCAGCCTCTCTCTTTTTCTCTCGTTTCGTTTTCTTCTTTTTTGTTATTTTTCCTCTTTCTTTTTGGTATTTCTCTCTTACTCTTATGGTGCTCTTACTCTTTTTCGATGTTCTTACTCTCTTTCGGTATTCTTTCTCTCTTTTCGGTATTCCTTCTCTCTTTTTGGTATTCTTTCTCTCTTTCACTTCAAATCATCTCTTTCTTTTCGTATCATCGTTTTGGGTTTTTTCTCTCTCTCTCTCTGTTAGAAATGAAGAGAGTGTCTTCTCTCTCTCTCTTTTCATCGATCTTGTCTCTTTCTTCAGTGATCCATCTCACTTTTTCTAACTATCCTTCTCTTTCTCATATATGATAAGAACTATCGGCCTTTTTCTAATTTCTCTCTTTTTCTTCAAATTTTGTTCTATTTCTCTTCTTTTGCCTCTCTCTTCATCGTTTTTGGATTTTTTTTTCAATCTTTTTTAAACTCTGCTCCTCGTATCTCCCCCCTTTTTCTTTGTTCATTTATCTTTTCGGCTTACTTCTATCTTTCTGTATGTTATGCCTCCTATTCTTCTCCAAGTACATACTTATCATTGCTTATTATTTCTCCCTCACATCATTTTTACCTGTACTTCTTATATTTTCCCAAAACTATTTTGTACTTTTTTTTTGTATTTTGGAGTTTATTTTTGAATATCCTTTATGTTTAAGTATCTTTTATTTTTAAATATCCTTTATTTTAAAATATAATTTGTTTTTAAATATCCTCTATTCTTAAATATAATTTATTTTTAAATATGTGACGCTCCACGGCGATAGGGACCTTAGCTGCAAACAAATTTTAGGTTATGTTTGTGTTTTTTAAAGCGATACTACAAAAAGTTTCTTAATATAAAAGTTATTTTAATATAAAACACAGTTTTTAATATAAAAAAATATAAAAGCTATTTTAGAAACATATCGCTGTTCCAGATAAAAATATTTTTCCATGGCATAATTAAAAATAAATGTTTAATGATGGTGAATCACTAAACATAACCTAAAATTTGTTTGCAACTAAGGTCCCTTTCACCGTGGAGCGTGACAGTCATATTTGTTGAGTCTAATTTATATTATTTATCTAATATAATTTTATATTATTTGTCTAGTATAATTTTATATTATTTGTTTAAGTCCAATTTTTTCCTTCTGTTCTCCTCTTTCGATTTTATTATACTCATATACATATATTGTTTCTCGTCTTATTTACCTTTTTGCTCTACCGAAATCTTAATTCTCATTTCTCACTTAATCTTCTCTCTCAATGACACATCTCGTTCTATCTGCCGTCTCCCTCTTGCTATCTTCTTCTTCCCCCCATCCCTTCTTCTTATTTCCCCTCCTCTTGCGAATAGATCTCTCCTAAACTCGCAGTTACGCTTTACTCTCACGAATATACTCGACTGTCAGTTGGCGTCAAACAACTTATATATTGCATTCAACCAAAATACACAATTTCCGTATCATCCCCAAAAATTTCATATATACCTCCTCCCACCGGATCTTCACTCAAAATTATTTACCTTCTAAATTTATTTAATCTACCTAAATTTTCCTATTTATTTTTTTTTCTATAAGAAAGAAGGATATCCTCAGTTCATGAACTTGCATCGGATGTCATAAATCACGTTGTTATTATTAGAAGCAATAAAATTAATCAGAACAACTCTTATAAATACGGCAAAAAAAAAGTGTCTTTGTGAAACCGGCTTTTGATTTCATTTCTTTTTTTTTCTCTCAGTGCGAGACTAGCCGCGAGCCAAAAAGTCGTAAATGTTTTTTATGGCCTATGTTTGTATGATATAAAAGTCAGAACCAAACTTATTATCATCATTTCGTTAATTCTAGTACCTAAAAAAAAAAACAAATCAGAATTTGATTTGTGAATCAAGAAAAAAAAAATTTCAAATTCGTCAAAAAAATAGTTTCGATATTATCGATTGAGCGAATTTTACGAGAAACTTTTTCTAGAAGGAAATAGTTTGCCGACGGAAAGATCACGGTATCGTAAAAGAACCTACTCGCGTGTCATTTAGGTCCTACTGGAGGCTGTTGCCAATACATGTGTATATATATATACATGTATGTATTTTCTGCTTTCTCCTCTCTTTCTCGCACTTTTCCGAATTCTTCCCTCTTCTTTTTCGATCGTATTCTCTCCTCTTCTGTGACAGTTGCAATGTTGCCACTATGAAGGCACATGTTCTGAGAATTTTCCCAAGTATTTCATCTTTTTAGAATTTTTTTTTCAAAAAAAAAAAAAAAAAAAATTCCACAGCAAAAAATCAAAACTGATTTTGAATAAAATATTATTTTATTGCTAAATTGAAATTATAAATAAAAATTGGACGAAATTATTTCACTGTAAAAAAAGTACTAAAGTAGTACCAATTTTAGGTATCAAAATAGAATCAAATGAAAATTTAGTACCTGAAGTCGATATTAAATTAATACCTTTCGTTTTAATGTTAGAATAAAAGTTAAAATTAATTTAATTAAATGAGATCTTTTGATTAAAATTAATTTAATTGAATTAATTTTTGAATCTTATTGCAATAATTTTTTGTTGGAAATTTTTTTTTTTTTAATTCTTTGGCTAGAACAGGCGGAGGGGGTTAATTTGAAAGATACTTGGGGTAAAAGTACACATTTACATCTGGTATCTAAGTCTATATATCTAAGCATCAGTTTCAATATAGTTCTTGTTTGTTTCCATATTTGGAATTTCTGTCTTGGATACTTGAGGACCAAGAAACTTTACTCAATGTTATAAATACAGCCCTTACTTCGCATATATATATATATATATATGTGTGTGCTTGGAATAAAATTGCTTTTACTTTTCAACTCTTTTGTATTTTCTTTAAAATTTTAAATTCTTCAACGAACTCTCACTATACGCACTGAATTTTTCATTTTAAGATTCAAATCACAAGATGTCTTTGTGAATTTTATGAAATTGTAAAAATTACTAACATACATCTCTATGTTTATTTTTCAGTACAATTGTACAATTACCCCTCTGTTCCAAATTACCCCATTCTTCTTTTTTCTATTTTATTCTGTTTTTAAAAATATTTTTAAAATTTCTACTAAAACTTTAATTAGACAATATAGTAGTCCAAATACTTGTATACTGTTTTACCCCACGCTTGTTTCAAATTACCCCGTTGTTCTTTTGTTCTAAAAAAAAAAAATTATAACGTCAAGAAAATAGAAAATTCACTTTTTTGCAATTGCGCAATGAGGCTATATATATATTTTTTTCTACGGATTCATTCGAGTGGTGAGAGCCATTAAACGAATATCCTTTTTTAACGTTCAGTTACAGGCGAATAAATATTAGAAACGAGAAATCATGGGAATGTTTTCTAACCAATTGGCTTCCGTCCATTCACCCCCTTCTCTCTCCCACCCAACACTACCTATCATCTTCCCATGACGTTAAATTACACTTATACACAGGCTCTCCAATTACCTCGATCTTTAATGAATCACTAACGAGAAACATTTCACGATGCGTATCAAAATCGATTTCATCGAGTGATACATCTATATACATCTTATAAAAACAAGATGCAATAATGATAATATCAATAGTGAGACACGCAAAATGATAATGAGTAAGAGAAATACTTGTATATATCATTTCAATAAGTGAAGACGAATTTTCAAAATAAAAATAAAAAAAAAGAAGAAAAAATTATTTTGAAAATTTTGTGTTGTATTTTGAATTTTTTCCGCCATATTGGTTTCGCCATTTTGAATTTTGTAAAATTGATATGCGCGCGCAGTGTAATCTTCCCCACTTTTCGCCCGTACACCAATCGTACAGCGTTACGTTAATCTTCCCCCACCAAACTTTTCGAATCGAATTTTCTTAACTCGGATTTATTTATTATTATATTTATTTATTATTTTAATTAATTCCTATTATAATATTATAATTAATAAATATAATAATAATTCAGATAAATGTAATAATTATTTATAATAATTATAAATAAGGTTTTTTCCAATCTTTACATTAAATTAGAATATCATATAATTTAAAATACGAAAAGAATTATCCGATTATCTCCTAATTCATCGAATCAATTTTTATGTTTACAAGCTAAAATTGATGCGAAACAAAAGTATTTTTTTTTTTTGTATTCTTACACAATTATGTGATTCAGCAGTGCGTTTAAGTGTTCTTTAATTACGTTAATAAATCCAAGTACTCACCGCTTTTTGGACGTCCTCGTTTCCTGAAACAAATGACAAATTATTTAGATTACTTTGAAGGCACACGATGAAGGCATTGTGCTTGGTAATTTTCCCATTGTAAAGTATTTTGTAAAGTGTGGCTATAGAGAAAGAAAGAAAAAGAGAGAAGGAGAGAGAGAGATATGGAAAATAGGGGGAATTATACGAATACTCTAGGACAGTAATCGGTTAGACTTTCGACATTTGCATCCTAAACAAACCATTTCAAATGACGGTTTTTCATTTTATGAGATCGCTTAACATTTTGCAGTGTATAGTACCGATTTCACACCCTACCAAAAGGTGGTATTTTGTTGTCTTATCTGAAATGATGTCTCTATTTCATTTTTTTTTTTTTTTTTTTATGGAAAATACCTGCTGTTTTTAAACGAGGGCATTAAATTTAAAATGACCCTCTTTTTTCAATGACGCCCTTTTTCAATTTTGTAATATTCAAACCATTACATCTGTTCTTTTGGGCAATACAAATTCGATCAATTTTCAAGGATCATAAAAAAAAAAAATTTCCCTTTTTTTTGCCTCGCTTACAAGATGTTTAGGTGTCATAAAAATGGTTCGTGCTAATGAAATTGTAGAAATTGAGAAAGTATTATTAAAAAAGAAACATATAAAAATAGTTTTTTTTCTAGAAGAAAATTTTTGAATTGGAATACGGAAAAAAATTTTCACCTGAAACGATAAATTTAAGAAATATATTTCACTAAAACAGCGAAAGTTTTCATTATTCTAGAGAAACATATCGTTGTTTCAGATAAAAATTTTTTTTCCGTGAATTAAATTAAAAATGATATTGTAATATTGTTGTAATTATGAATACGTTCGGTAAGTCTTTAATGTATGATCAAGTTTCAAATAATGTAATATATATATATATATATATATATATATATATATATATATATATATATATATATATGTATTCGATAAGAAGAACGGTCCAAGTGTTTATATTGAGAGTTTTTATTAGCCACACATGATGAGTTGCGGTGCAAATTGCAATTTATACGTGACTGGAAATCGATAGATCCCAAAGAGAATTATATTTTATTCCTCTCACGATAATCACTTTCATGATCCATCACTTTTAAATATGTACCTACCGCAGACAAAATTGTATATCAAGAATTATAATATTGTTCCTCGGAAAAGATTTTAAAAAATTTACTTTACATAAAAAATCATGGAAAATTGCAATTGTAAAAGTAAATCCGCATTTTGATAATTTTTACTCCAGAAATAGTAAAATTTACTATTTTCGGAATAATTTTTACTATTTCAGGAGTAAATTTTACTATTTTCGAAGTAAATTCTTTGGTTTTTGTTCCAAACTAATTTTATAGACTTGTTTGTTCAAATTTTTATTGGAAATTATGATTATTTTCTATTTTGAGAAAAAAAACAAATTTTGTATTTACAATTTAAGTTGTAAAAATTGTGTTTTAGAATTAGAATATTTAGAATAAGGGCAATAATGTACGTAACAGTGTAGCCATTTGTATGTAATATTTTGTATATGGTTTTTTTTTTATGATGGGACTGGGTCAAATATTATTAGGGTCAGTATTTTTATGGATCTATGGAGTCAATTTTTTAGGACTTAACGATTTAATGGTACTGATACTGTCGACAGGGACATTTTACAATGTTACTTTTTCTTTGTAAGCAGGTAGTGGAGAAAAAAAAATACTTTTTTTAAGTAAACTTTTTTTTAGAAAATATAGTTATTTGTAGTTTACAATTTTTTTCTTCAAAAAAAAATACACATTGTTAATTTATTATTTTTCTTGACCTTTTCTTTTGTTTCCATTTTAAATAAAATTAATTTATTTGTACAAAAAAAAACAAAAATTGTAATTGAAAAAAAATACTGTAATAAAAAAAATATTGTAATAAAAAATTACTGTAATACAAACAAATATTGTAATAAAAATAATATTGTAAAACAAAAATAATATTGTACTACAAAAAAATATTGTAATAGAAATAATATTGTAATATAAAAAAAAAATTTTATGATAACAAAATATTGTAATAAAAAAAAATTGGAATAAAAAAAATTTTTCTATATTGTACGATGTGGCGAAAACAAACAATTTGACTCCTCATAATGTGCTAAGTTTAAGGACCCATTAAGCCTCTCGTGATGATTGCAAAACTGCGATTTTCGCTTATAGCCGACAATTCCGCGAATACTCGTTAAATGACAAAAAAAAAAGAACAACCAACCTAAATTCTCCTTATGAGGAAAAACAGTAGCAACTTTCGTCAACTCAATAAAATTTTATATTACTCCAAAAGTTGTCCTATTACTTTTTTTTAATGATACGATGACTCTCATTATATATGGATTCTCATAATATACCGTCAATCATTAATCAAAAAATTTCAAAATTTCATTTTTTTGTTACATTTCTTTTTTTAAATTCAGTTTTATATTAATTAATTACTAATTAATTTTTTGTATGCAATTTTTTGATTTACAAAATAATACTGTAAAAATATTCGTAATCATTAAAAAAAAAAATTTTGAAAAAAACAAGGAGGAGATATTTCGAGGGATAGAAAGAAGAAAAAAGAAGGTGGTTTCAAGGGGGAGGGGGGGGGGCAAATTTTGAGCTCTTGTATCGAATGGGATCTTAGACAGGTATGATCAGGTAGCTGAGAAAAATAGTAGATCGACCAGCACTGGTCAGCCAACCAGTGTTGGATGAAAAGAAAAATGGGCGG